GCCAGCGAACTTCGAAATACGACACTCCTGACGAGCCGTGACTGCGCGTTGGATGCGCCTTTTCCGCACATGATCAACTCTGCGGCCCTGTCTTCTCCCCTAAAAAAAATACACGATCCAAAAAGTGGGGCGGCGGTGTCTGCCCCCTCAGGGGTGTTCCACTGAATAAAACGTCTCCCTAGCGAACTTCAATAGGAATTCCATGAATTCGTCGAAAAGTCATGGGCATCCAATCGGAAACCACAGAACCGCCCGCAGGCGAAGTGTGGGTTTTGATGGGCTGATGTTGAGGGCCCAGCCAAAGAGCCAGCCATAAATGCGCGGGAACCACTGCTGAGTTCTGCTGAGCCTTGCGCAGCCCCGTGAAGCCCTGTGAGGCTCTGCTTCAGTCTGCTAAGCCCAGCGAAGTCCTGCTGTCACCTGCTGGGCTTTGGTAAACCCTGTAAGCCGTCCTGCGCCCTGCAACGCCCTGCTGGGCTCTGAGAAGCCCTGCAGCGCCCTGCTGGGCTATGCTGGGCCCTGCAAACTCTGATAAACCACGCATCGGCCCGCTAAGCTCTGCCAACCTCTGCAAAAAAACAAACCTTGCTGGTCCTTGGTGCGTTGTGCGTGGTATGTTGTGTCTGGTGCGTTGTGCGTTGTGCGTTGTTTGCAATATTGTGTGTGTTGTGTGCGGTGTGTTGTGTTGGGTGTGTTGTGTGTGTGGTGTGTTGTGTGTTGTATGAAGTGTGTGTGTGTGCGTGCGTGTGTGTGCTGTGTCTTATGTGCGTTGCGTGTTGTGTACGGTGTGTGTTGTGTGTGCTGTGTGTGCGTTGTGTGTGTTGTATGTTGTGCGTGTTGTGTGTGTTGTTTGTGGTGCGCGTGTGTTGTGTGTGCAGTGTGTTGTGTGTGGTGTGTGTTGTGAGTGGTGTGTGTGCGTTGTGTTGTGTGTGATGTGTTGTGTGCGTTGTGTGTGTTGAGTGTCTTGCGCGTGGTGTTGCGTGTTGTGTGTGGTATATGGTGTGTTGTGTGTGTGCGTTGTGTGGTGTGTGGTGTTGCGCGTGTTGTGTGTGGTGTGTTGTGTGCTGTGTGTTGTGTGTTGTGTGTTGAGTGTTGTGTTGTGTGCGTTGTGTGTGTGTGTTGTGTGTGTGCTGTGTGTTGTGTGTTGTGTTGTGCGCGTTGTGTGTGTGTGTTGTGTGCGTTGTGTCTTTTGGGGGGCCATATTTCTGGCGCCGCCCAGGCCGTTCCTAGCGGCGCTTCTTGGAGTCCTCGGAACCCCTACGGGAGCTCTCAGGTCTTCCCGACAGCTCGCATGGCCTGCCGATTACTTGCAGAGACCTCTGAGAAGCTCTCAGAAGCTTGTCGGGGTGTCTCAACAGCCTCCCGGGAGCTTTGAGAAACCTCTCCAAAAAAATCGCAAGGCCTCTCGGAGGCTCGCAGAAGCTTCTCGGAAACTCTCAGTGCCCTTGCGGCAGCCCTCATAAGCCGCTCGGAACCGATTAGAAGTCCCTCGGAGGCCATCATAAATTGTCAAAGGCCCCTCGGAATCTCCCAGAAGTCTTTAGGAAATGTTCAGGATTCACGACTTCTTGGGGGGTCTTGTGGATTCCCCAGAGGCGCTCCGGATTATTTAGTTTCCCCTGAATTCCTTGGGAGTCCTTCAACATCGTTTCGCGCGCGTGAATCCGGCCATAAACCAATTGTGACTTACTCGTAATTTGTATTCGGTTTCCATATATCAGTAATGCTGGCCTTACACAATTACAAGCCATAGATTGGCGGGACGCTCCCGGCCATAAAAGAAGGGTGACCCTACTACGACTACTGCTGCTACGACTACGACTACGACTACTACTACTACTACTACTACTACTACTACTACTACTACTACTACTACTACTACTGCTGCTACTACTACTACTACTACTACTAATACTACTACT